GAGAGAGAGAGAGAGAGAGAGAGAGAGAGAGAGAGAGAGAGAGAGAGAGAGAGAGAGAGAGAGAGAGAGGCACTTGCTTTACCAGATCTAGACTTGTGTAATAAGGTGAAAGGCCAGGCTGACACTCTTCAAGCATGATCTCAAGAAGGGTTCTCAGGTCCAAGCTCTTCCCCTTTGATCTGCTCCCGCCTGCTTCCTTCGTTTGCCCACTGGTAATCCACCCCCAACTCTCTGCCTTTGACTCCATCTCCCTTACATCCTCTTCGGTGTGCAATGGACCTACCCACAGAGGGCCAGTTAATTGCATCGGCTGTGAGACATCCATAAAATCATTGCCATTAGAAACAGCAAAGTACTATCATAAGTCTCATGAAGAGTGTTAAACAACTTAAACCAAAGTTTTGCGCCAATGTATAGAGAAGTGGAGCATTGCACTGCATGCAGAGTGGAAGTCGGAGGATGATCAAGGAGAGGAAGAATTTTAGAGAAGAGAACGTGACAAAGAAATAACTCAATACTCAAAGACATGGGCCAGTGGCCTAGCTCAGTTGGTTGAGCACGTAAGTGGCAATCAGGAGGTCGTGGGTTTGATTCCCCAGGTCATCCATTCGGCTCCCCATGGCCCCTGATGCGCACTACAGGTTCACTACCTGAGATAGTTGGTTCACCCCCCTCTCAGGGTTAGGTTCAACCCTGAGGGGATAGATTCGCGCCTGAGGGGATAGGCAGTCTGGGGTAGACTAGGAAAGATAGGTAGGTGAAACCCATAACCCTGAGTGTAGCTTATCTCCTTCAAGACTAGGCTGCCAAGTACTGTACGACCCTAAGCCCTGTATGTAGCTGTCCATCTGACGTGGAGCTGGGTTCCTTGCTGGTTGGGTTGCCATGCCCGTTGCAGGTCTGGAAGGTGGGTAGAAAAAAAAAAAAAAAAAAAAAAAATCCAGCACATACACGCATGACGAATCAACGAACAAACAGTGACCTGGCTACTTGATGGCACAATTGCAGCAATCCACGGTTCGCAGCTGAGGTGGAACGAGTGGGACAGCACATACTTGCAGAGCAGAGTCAGTTTTCCCCTCTACCTGGCCTATGCTTGAGGCACAACGCTCTGTGTTTCACGATTGTCCTGACAAGCTGAACACCCATTGAGATTGAGAGATCCACTGCTTCAGGAGACACCTGACAGGCAATCCTCCTTATAGGAGCAACCAATGTGCTGGCCAGGGGTCCTTCGGCCTAGATGGAACGAAAGTTACAAAACGTTTGCACAGCTTTGCAGTTAAGACCCTCTTTGAATCTGAGATCAGGACACCACTGCAAAAGGTTCCCAGCCAGAGAGGCATCGAGACAAAACTGTGGTCAAGGACACAAAAAGATACAAACTATTACAAAGTATTACAAACACACACAGACCTCAGGAAAGCACAGTTTTCTCAGTCAAACGACTCAAGAGTCAAAACTCGGAATAACAGCTATTCCCAGGCGAATCACAGCAAAAGGTATCAGACTTGTCAGACTGAAATCTGCAGGGCCTAACCAACGGGCTTGGCTCAGTTGGTACACCCATGAACTGTTCACATACAGATCCAAGATC